ACATACTATGTGTGTCTACATTTTCAGTGTACTTTGTTTTCTTTAAAAGCTATTGTTTGATTTTACTCTCTTCTGGTGCATTATAATTTTTATTATATCCTTTTGCTGTAATTTGCATTTAATTCACCATAGATGTATGCATTATATTTGTGTGTTCATGTGTCTGCTATATCTGTATGTTTATATATCATAGGTTATTTATTATTAGTATTATACATTTATTATAGTCATTATTACCCAAAGTCTATCAATTCTTCACCATGACCATTTTGTTCTTTAACTCAGCTTTCTATTTCAGTGAAAACAAGCTCTGACTAGGTCTGTCTACTCAAGGGCTATCATTTTCTGCTATTGCATTATGGTAATTGACTCTGTAAACCATATCACTCTTTCACAGTATCACTGTTATCACAAAACACAAATTTGCTCCGATGTCATAGTTAAGGATAAATATACAAAGTACATGTTTACTTCAAAGCACAGATAGATCTAGCAGGTCATATTTGAGGCACCTACTTCCATGGTCATAATGTTCACTTTATACATTATGATTAACTGAAAAGCCACTAAGTTTGTCATAATAAATATTTTGGGTGACCTTGGGATAGTATTTTATTGTGTAAATATACAACATTTTCCTTAGCCATTCACCCACTGGAGGGCATCTGGATCAAGTTCATATTTTGGATAATGGTGGTGACAATATACCTTCCCACCAACAATATACAAGGTTTCTCTGTTCTCTGAATCCTTTCCAACACTATTTTGTCTGTTTGTCTTTGTCTATTGGATAATTGTCATCCTAAGAAGGATGAGTGGATATCTAATTTTTGTTTCCATTTGCACTTCTCTGATGTTTAGTAGAATTGAGCATTTTCGCATATTTTGGACATTTATATGTCTTCTTTTGAGAAGTAACTTTTTAGTTATTTATCTTATTTCTTAATTGGTTTATTTTGGGACTTTTTGTGCTCAGCGTTTTTAGTTCCTTGTATTTGTTATTTAGATGGAATCACATGTGCCTCTTTTCAAACTTGTCTGTATCGACCAGGTTTTAGTGGAGTATGTACCAAATTCCTTCCTTTTTGTTCTGGTGATTTTTGCACTCAAGTATTATTATGAGTTTCTTCTTTTTACTTTTCTTTATGTAGCTGTATGAAGCACTTTATGAATACAGTGCCTCATGATCAATGTCACCCTTTTAATATTCTCATCGCTCCCACCCCTTCTCTCATGTTTCTTAATTTTAGGTTATCTATTGAATGTTTCCCATTTATGAAAGCAATTTATGTATACAATACATCTTGATCTGTGTCATCCCTTCAACATCCTTCCCCCTTCCCCCCCACTCCTTCCCTTATTTTTCTCAGTTCTGTGGCATGTGCAATGCAGTGTTGCCTACAAGTTTCTGACATATACGATGATCCAGTGGTTTTATTCCATAAATGCCTTCTCATGTGCAACTATAATGACATTTGATAACAAGATACTATAAGCATTAGAAGGTTCACAATATGTCAAATTTTTCCTCTTCTATGGATAATGCTTATCTTCTAGTGAACAGAGGATACTTCAATGTGTATTTTACTTTTTATTTTATATAATAATGTTGTCTTCTTATGCATCCTAGTTTTCTCCTTCCAAATTATGGACATTTATTTCTGATCATTTTTGTCTATTCCTGTTTTGATGATTTGTTATTTCTTTCACATAGCTTAAGCATAGTTACAAATATCACACTTGAACATGATCTATGGATTTCTTTGCTCTGTAGCATGGCCATCTTTTTATATTTTTTAAATAAGTTTTTTTATTGTGAAAATACTGTACAGAGGGGTTACAATCACATGAGCAAGGTAATGAGTACTTTTCTTATCAAGCATTGTAGGCTCCTCCTTTGTTTTTCCCCTACCATCCCTTCTCTCCCACATCCTCAGCTATACTCCCCCCCCACTCCCTCCACCCACAGCCTAAATTGTAAAGTGTTTTTTTGACAAAGCATCTTGTTGCAATGGGTCAACCTATATCCCTATTTAAACAAGTTGTTTTTTTCCTTCCCTTCCACAAATTATAACAACATCAAATACAGTAAAAACAGGAGTTATACCGTGGGGGAGAGACATAAAAAGCAACAAAAAATCACGTGGTACCTTATAAATACATTAGAACAATAGCAAGAAAGAAGAAAACCACTGTGTCCTTATCTTGGGGTACATTTCGCTTAACATCATCTTATCTGACCTTTTCTGCTTGTCTCAGATATATTCTAGTTATTGAAAATAAAGGAAACCATGGGACCTATGCTTCTTTGGGCCTGGCTTATTTAACTTAATATAATTTTTTCCAAGTCTTTCCATTTCCTAACAAATGGGGCAATATCATTCTTTCTGATGGAGGCATAATAATTCCATCGTGTATATATACCACATTTTCTTGATCCATTCATCTATTGAGGGGCATCTGGGTTAGTTCCATAGCTTAGCTATGGTAAATAATGCTGCAAAAACATAGTTGTGCTGGTAGCTTTAATATGGTCTTATTTGTGATCATTTGGGTAAATGCCCAAAAGTGGGATTGCTGGGTCATAGGACAGCTCTATATGGAGTCTTTTGAGGAACCTCCATACTACTTTCCACAGTGGTTGAACAAGTTTACACTCCCACCAACAATGTAGTAAGGTTCCCTTCTGTCCACATCCCCTCCAGCATCTGTTGTTATTGGAGTTCTTGATTCTAACTATTGTAACTGGGGTGAGGTGGTATCTCAATGTTGTTTTGATTTGCATTTCTTTTATGGCTAGGGAGGTTGAGCATTTCTGCATGTGTCTATTGGCCATCCTTCTTTCCTCTTCAGAGAAGTTTCTCTTTAAGTCTTTAGCCCACTTATTTATTGGACAGTTGTTTCTTTGAGGATTTGTTGTTGGGGGATTTAATTTTTTGAGTTCCAGGTATATTTTAGATATGAGACCTTTGTCCGTTGTATGGCTAGTGAAGATCTTCTCCCTATCTGTGGGCTTTCTATTGATCTTGCTAGCTATGTCCTTTGCCATGCAGAAGCTCTGCAACTTCTAGCATGGCCATCTTTTTCACTCAGAATTGTCACTCATGCAGTCATGTTTCCTGAGCATGTATCATATCTATATTGTACATATATTTCTACAGTTTGGACTTAATATCCTTTCTTGGTGGTGCTAGGGCTTCAGTGCAAAGCCTCACCCTTGGTAAGCAGGCACTCTACAACTTGAGGCATACCTCCAGCCCATTAGTTTTTACTTTAGTTGTTTTCTGATAGGCTCTCATGTGGTTTCCTCATGTCAACTTTGGGCCATTATCCTTTTACCTACACCTGACACATTGCTGGAATTAGAAGTGCATGTGATCATACCCAGTTTATCCGTTAAGAAAATGTCTAACATTTTCCCCTGTGATGTTCTCAAACTCTACTCCTCCTATTTCTACTTCCAAAGTAACTAAGATTACAGACATGACCCACACTGGAGTTTTATATTATGTGCCAAGTTCCTCTGTTTCTATGGAGTAACCATGAATTCATATATAGTGATTATTTGAGAATTAATCTTTTCACTCCAGCATAAAACATTAAGGACTGTAAAGGCACTGTGGATAAAGAACATATATCATGTTTACTGCCCATTACTTATATTCAGAGTTCTCTGACTATATGCTGTATTTTCTTATTTGGTATGGCTTTCTGACCTTTACCATCGTTGTCCATTCCTATAAAATACCTAACAGCTCTTGTATAGCTCATGAATCAAGAATGTGGTACTACATACATTAGGTAAAGTCTGAGACTTTTCTGATTTTGTGAAACAAAACCTGTAGAATATGGGAAATTTCCCTGTGTGATGTGGACATCTCATGGTGTCAGAAGTCCATCTTCCCTAGTGTCATAGTGTTTTCATACATGCATGCCAGGTTCTTGAAGAAAGCCTATAATAGAATCTAGGAACTACTTTATGAGAACAGGATTCCTTTAGAAGGAATTTTCTTTTTAATATTTTCATCAATCAGAATCGTTTCTCAGACTGTATATACTTTACATTTTGCTCCCACATAAGTTTTCCTTTAAAAAGTTTTATATCTATGAGTCCCTCTAAAATTTAACCTACTGATAGGATTGAAAAAGAATATCAGTTGGCTGGAGTCAGTAATAGCTCAGATTCAAAGAAGTTACACAATGTAGAGGTAGGAAGGACATATATCTTCATTGGTTGATTTTTTTTTCACCCCATGACTTGGGTAACTTGATTGGTTGTTTTGTTCACCCTGTGACTTGGGTGAATCTGTAGCATTTTAGAGTCTATAAAACAGCTCAGCATATAGGTAATACCTAATCACTAATTTTAATATTGGTATAATTTGCTGACAGGATATTCTCTGCCAGGAGTTTAGCCTTGGATTTTTTCTTTATGTTTGGACTCCTGTCTAAAGGAGGTGAATTTGTTCTTGACTATTTCTTCATGGGGAAACATTGTATTCTTCATAACCCATACTGTATTATTCATTATTTTCTAACCCTCAGAAAATAGTCCATATACTCAGGTATTTTGCTCTCATGATGAGAAACAATCCCCAAAATTCTATAAAGAGACTCCAGGTCTAGAAATTTCTATCAGTTCATCAAGGCTAACTATTAAAGATCTAACAAAGAGTTTAGGGGGAAAACACACAAAAAGACATTGAGCAACCATTTTAAGATCTGAGATAACAGGAAGTAACAGGTTTAAAGGAGTTGCACAAGTTATGTGCTCTTACAGACTGTGCACCTTTTCTTGCTGCAGTCTTCAAAATGGATACATGATGGTAGTGAATTTTGGTGGCATTGATAAGCTGGGGAAAGGGGGCTTTCAATTAATAACAGTGATTACATAGTAGAGAAGTTAAATAGTTGACTAAATACAGTTGACTAAAATATTTTTTTACCTCTTCCTCTTCTTTCCATTTGTTTTTTTACCCCTTTGTCCTTCCCCTTTTCCTCTACTGTGTATCTCACAGGTCTTTCAAAGTTGGTACCTAAGAAGATGATAATCATACAAATGTTTCGCTTCTACACAATCAGACTGGGACTTCTCTTCCTGATTAATTTTCTTCCTGGAACTGCAGGCCAGGGAGAATCAAGACGTCAAGAACCCGGGGACTTTGTGAAGCAAGACATTGGCGGGTAAGAAGACTTCATCCATGGGTCTAACGGGTTCTGTGATAAATGCCTCATATAAGAATTTAAGATTGTTTTGCCCAGAGGAACCAGAGAACTCTGGTCTCTGATATTTACACATTATATTGTCATTAGGGGAAAAAAACCCATCCCTTCAGACTCTCCAAGTGAAAGAAAATCTCAAAATTCTTAGGCAACTTCTTAGCCTATGCTTGACTTTCTCTCTGTGATATTTTCATAGCAGGTCTTGCCGACCTATGGCAATCAATCTTATATCCAATCTCTTTACATCTCCAACGTGTCCATTCTTGTTGGCTCTGGATCATTAGTATTTAAATATGATTGAGAAATTATTATCTGGAACTTAAATGTATTCCCTTGACTTTATTTTCCTTACTTCTTGGAGTAATGGTCTTCTATATTGTCTGTACTTGCCTTTCATCCATTCCTATACCTACTGTGGCTCAGTTTCAACCCTGTGATTCTAAGGCTACTTCTGTGGCCGAGATAGCCAACATTAGTGTCTGCTAAAATAAACAATTGCCTATCCCTTTTTTAGTAGCACATAAGAGCATTCAATGTCACTGGGTTCTCCCTCACCTTTCTTATTTTATTAGTCATAAGGCTTGAAGTCAGGGCCTAGGCACTGTCCCTGAGCTCTTCAGTTCAAGGCTAGCACTTTACCACTTTGAGGCACAGGTCCACTCCTGGTTTTCTGGTGGTTTATTGGAGGTAAGACTCTCATGGACTTTCCTGCTCCAGCTGGCTTTGAACCCCAATCCTCAGATCTCAGCCTCCTGAGTAGCTAAGATTACAGGCATGAATTACTAAAGCCTGGCCTCAGCTTGATTTTATAATCGTTCATATAGTGAAATACACATATAATATATGTATATACTGTATGTCTCTCTTTGACCTCAAAGGAATGCTTCCCAAATACGTAGATTAGATTCTCTAAGAAGAGCATGACACAAGATTCCTGAGCAGATTACTTCATTATAATGAAATAAGGGCAGCAAAATAAGGAAACAGGGAAAGTAAAGCAAAGGAAACATTTTACTTGGGGTGAAGTCACGGTTTCATCCCATAGGGAAATAGCAAGCATAAATAGCCCGAGAGAATAGTCCTACCTAGAAACAAGGAACCCAGGCTTTGCATGTATCTCAGTTTCTCCTGTCCTTTTTGAAGCTACAGATTCAACATGGTTTCCCTGGGCCAGTAAAGAAGATCTACTTTACATTTCTTTATCTTCCTGCCACCAAACCTGGTGTTCCTCAGCATTCTTAAACTTCTTTTAAACAAAGGTCTTAGTTCATCTAGGGAATCAAATTGCTAGAATCGAACCCCTGGGCTTAGAATATTTCAGTATTATACATGATATTATATTTCTTGGGAGTGTCTTTTTTGTTTTAGATTTGGTTATTGTCTCATATCCCTAGAAGCATGTATCATGAAGCAAAATAAAATGGTTTGTTCTGATATTACAACTTGAACTTAGGGCTTTGTGCTCACAGCTCATGTTATACTACTTGAGGCACACCTTCAGTTTCAGCATTTTGCTGGTTAATTGGAGATAAGAGTCTCATGAGATCTCATGCCTGGGATGGCTTTGAGCTGTGATCCTCAGATCTCAGCCTATTGAGTAAACTAGGACTATAGGCATGAGCCACCAGCACTAATTCCAAGCAGAATTTATTCTGAATTATAAAAATACTCAATGTCCTAACTCCATTTTTATCAGTATTTTTACAATTATCTCCAAGATTGAGGTCTTCAGAACTAGACACATAGATTATTAGAATCTTGGCATATGCATCCCTTTTTGTTCTTTCTCCCACTGGAGAAAAATCAAACCAATTTTATGTTATTAATTCCTCATGTATCTGATTTCATGGGTCATGATAGATATGCCAAATAAGCTAGCACTTTTAAATAAATGAACCTTCATTCAAGGATTGCAGCTTTTTTATTTTAACTGTGAAAAAGTTTTCTAAAATACATTTATTTTCTTATAATTCTAAATGAGTATTTTGAACAGAATAGACTTTTCTCTTGATGCTTTTTGACTCAGAAAGAACATTCATTGTATTTATTTTACATCTGCTCTTTTATTTTTATCTCCATCCTCAGTGTTAGTTGTCACCTTTCCTGTTTACATTGTTTTTATTTTACATCCTGTTAGTGCTTAGAAAAACAGATAGATGAGCATGTTAGCAATTATGTTAAGAAGGAAGCCAAGAAAATCCTGCCTGCAAAAGCAGAGTGAACTATCTGGTTTTAGTACAAGGGCATAATGACTGCATACTTCTCAAATTAGAAACATTTTCTTCCAAGTTTTATAATTCATGCTTTGGAGCAATGAGATTACTAAAAAATTGGCTCAGAATGTGAGGATTGGCACTCTATTTGTATTTACTTGAAAATTAAGGGACAAATTTGACTCAAATTTATAGTGTATGAAAAGGATTTACTGGCTCTGAGGATAGTGGCTAGCAGTCTGTATTTTATGAAATGCTATGGATGATTCTAACGTAAACGTCTTTGGTCAGTACTTTGGAGACACAGTATAGTTAGAAATAAGAGACAGCCGGGTGCTGGTGGCTCACGCCTGTAATCCTAGCTACTCAGGAGGCTGAGATCTGAGGATCGCGGTTCAAAGCCAGCCCGGGCAGGAGAGACCGTGAGACTCCTATCTCCAATAAACCACCAGAAAACCGGAAGTGGCGCTGTAGCTCAAGTGGTAGAGTGCTCGCCTTGAGCTGAAGAGCTGAGGGACAGCGCCCAGGCCCAGAGTTCAAGCCCCACGACCTACAAAAAAAATGAAAGAAGAGACACTGGAACTTTAGAAGGCTATACCTAGAAAAACCCAAAGACAAGAACTCTGAGCTCTCATTTTGTATTTGTGAAAGAACTAAGGTCCAGAAGGCAAACTGATTTTCCTTTAACTTCCATTTCCTGCATTTCTCTTTTCTTTTCATTTTCCCCTACATTCTTCTGTTATACTAAAAGAAAGGATTTGGATCAGAAAATTAATAGCAGAGCTAGGTCTACAGTACCATTCTTTGATTTCTTGTCTTGTATTCTTGAGGAAATTCTACATTTCTTCCATTTCTGTTTCTCTGTCCTTTTTTGTTATAAAAAATACAAACTGTATATGTGAATAGTGCTTAAATTCAACTATAATGAAACTGTATTTTTCTGGATGCAAATGACTAGAGCTCAGCAATTTTCTAATGGATTGACACATAAATGTCAACGTGTCAAATAAGTGCCAAATGAATCCTTTACCAAGGTTCTGCGATTTGTTGCATCAGTAGGATTCTAAAATAATAGAAATGCTACGTTTCAATTAAGTTTGGTAATTTAAGAAGAGATCTACCATGAAGATATGGTGTAGGTATAGGGGACTCTCAAGAAATAGAGCAAAAACCTAAGGCAAGAATGTTTTTGTACTAGATGTTCAGACCTTTAGGGGAGGAAACAGCTAGGCAGAGGAAATTTTATATGTTGAGAGATCAGGAATTACATGCCTAGACTTTTCCCTCTTTCCTCTGAGTTTCAGCCAAGGTGGCCATCGTCAAGTTAAGGATAGATGTCATGGGAGTCCTGTGAATATAATTCACGCATTTCAGTCTTTTAAGAAAACACAGGATGGAGACCAGTAGAGAATGTATATGGAAGAGCAAATGAAACATTTAAGAATGAAATAAAAACTATGAGTTTGGGAGTTATAGGACTATGTTCCACTTTTTTGACATCAAATTTATTTGGTGGTAGCCAGGGTAGTAGCTAATGTTAACTGATGAGGAGATAGCTGAGGATTCCTTGCTTCTTTTTAATGTTGTTGTTGTTATTATAAAGGTGTAACAGTACATAAGTCTGGTAAAGAGTACATTTCTTTTTGATCCATATAACCCCTTCCCTCACTCTCTCCTAGTTCCTTCTTTCTTTGTCAGACCCACAGCATGACATGGTATCACTCTACCAAAAGGCTAAGATATTCATCTTGGAATTTATTTGCTTTGTCCTCTTTATCTCATAATAAACTGGTACCTATGCTATGCATGTATTAATTGCAATTTGAAGTCTAAGTATTAGAAACCTAAACACCTCTATTTCCATGCAATAATAATCAAATCAAAGCATTGTTACTGTTCACTTTGGAACGTCAAACTTTAATTTTCAGAATCAAATGTGGGACCTGAGAGACTGTGAGCTTCTAAGTTCCCACTAGGCAGTCGGAATCCCTGTTGGATTATGCTTAATCGTTAAGGGAAGAATTTGTAATAAACTGCATTTCTACCACAGAGCATAGCTTGAAGGGTGGGCTGAAGCCCAGTATGTCTTGTTTAAACTTTGTGTTTATATTGCTCTTGCTATGTGTGAAGCACTGTTCTAAGTGTTTTATATATGGTAATTAGTGTATAATCCTTATAAAATACCCACTAGCTCGGAGATACTATTATCTTTGTTTTAATGATAGAATATGGAGAAGTGTTTAACTCTTGTTTCCTGGATAAAGAGCAGGGAATGCTTCTCTACTTTTCCTTATTTCTCTTGTTGTACTAAAATAAATCCTGGTTAAAACTTAAAATAAAAGAAAGACTATGGAGGCATAGAGAGTCCAGGCAATATCCCAGACCTTCCATAGACAGGCAGTAGAAGAGCAAGGACTGAAACTCAGACTCTAGCAACAGTGTCCATGCTCTTAACCAGTGTAGTATAGCACCGTGTATATATTACTGCCAATAGTAGGGCTAAAAATCTCACTTGGCTTTGTTCCTAGTTGTGGGCTACAGGGTGTTTTAATTTTTTGTTTTATTTTTAGAGGCCACTTTTATTCCCGGCATATTAATCTCTTCAGCTTCAAAGCAGACACACAACATGAAGTTCCTCTCATGCTTTGGATCTCTTCTTTCCCTTTATGCTTTTAAGTCTCTGTCTTCTTTTGATTACATTTTATTATATTTAATTAATTCATTACTCTGTGTGTGTGTGTGTGTGTGTGTGTGTGTGTGTGTGTGTGTGTGTGTGTGTAAGTGTGGGTGCCAGTCCTACGGATTTAACGCAGGGCATTGGCGCTGTCCCTGACCTTTTTAGCTCAAGTCTAGTGCTCTACCACTTTGAGCAACAGCTCTACTTCTGTGATTAACTGGAAATAAGAGGTTACTTCCCTGGCTGGCTTCAAACCAGAATCCTCAGATGTCAGCCTATTGCAGTAGCTAGGATTCAAAGTGCAAGCCACAAGCATCCAGCTACTGTATTGGGTTTTGGAGCTCTGAATACTAACTGTATCAGTCAGCTGATTGGATAGCCTATGTTAAGATGGCCAAGCACAATTTTCTTGTAAGGCCTGGAAGAAGAAGAAATATGTTTACCCTTTTGAAGTTGGAAAGTAGAATTTACAATATAGGACAAGGCTTCACATATGAGGCCAGGATAAAGTCTGGGACTCATTGCACCATGTCAAGAGGCAAGGTTTATTACTTATTGTTCATGTCAAATTAGATCACTTGGTTCAGGTGACCACTTCCAGGACTCTCCATTGTAAGTACATTTGCCACCAGAATTGTTTCAGAGCCTTTGAACTGGTAGCTAGCTCACCACTTGGATCATACCTGGGGGTATGGAGCAAATAGCAAATAATGATAGAAGAGAGACTAGAATTGTAGTTCTTCATTTATTCTTTTATGTCAAAAATCTTCCCCCCCAAGACAGTATTATAAATGGTCCTCAGGCTCACTTATGTAAGCCCACTTAGCAGAAATATTTGTGATATAGGGCTCATAAATGAGTATTGTGGTTAAAAATCATTCAAATGCATTATGAAAAATAGACCTAGGTAGTCTTGCTTGGAAAACTAGGCAGGAAAGACTTCGTCTTTATTTTAACTCAGCAAATAAACTTAAATGTGAACAGGTGGGCAGCAGGATGAGTGGGTGTGTCTCAAGATGAGAAAAGAGCAGCTGTCCTTTTGGGATGGATTATGTGCTAGTCACTTTTTGTTGCTGTGAAAAAAAATACATGAGAAAACAAGTTTGAGAAGGAATGATTTATTTTGGCTCACACTTTCAGAGGTTTGAGTCTATAGGCACTTGGCTCTGTTTCTCCTGAGTCTGTTCATGATGAGACAAAATATGGTAGGGAGTGTGTAGTAGAGCAAAGAAAGGGAAGAGAGAGTCTTCATTAGTCCATCCTCATGATGCAGTCACCTCTCTGTATAGCTGCTAGCTGGCACAGAAGCCTTCAATAGATTAGTCCTTTGGGGATCAGACCCAAACCATTTATGAGAAAGACTGCACTTGGAGAATAAAAAACATGGGAAGTACTGGGCAATAGAGAAATCTCATTTGGCTCTGATACACAAGTGAAGCAGTTTAATTTTTAGCTGTAAAAAATGTATTTGTAACATATGCATGTTCTACTAAGGAGTTAGAATTTTATTTGGTAGGCCCTGAAGAGTTATGGATGGCTTTGGAGCAGAACAGAGATATGATCAGTCCAGTAATTTAGAATTTTCATTATGAAAAAATCTATTTCCCCCTACGAGATAGATATGCATTATTAGGGGAAATGGCTTCCTTTTAATGAAGTAAATTCCTCTTCTTTTCGGGTTGCTTATGAACTGCATCGGTGACTGTTTTCCCTCCACATAAACACACCAAGATCTTTCATGAGGTTGGCTTAAGGCTGTTATTGCTAGCATCCTATACTTAATCTTTACATGGTCAGTGAACTGTATTTTCAGATGTTTTGGGAGAAATTAGGGAAAAACCTCATTTGCAGAGCAATTTTGTGTTTTCTTAATTACATTTCTTCTGTAAGCTTTCTCAGGTAAGGTATTATTATGCCGACTTTATACGTAAGCAAATATATCACTCTCTAAGTAGCAGAGCTAGAACTAACGCTCTAGTCATTTGACTAAGCCTGTGAATTTACTACTAATCCATTTTGGGGGCTAGAAAAATGGCTAAACTTCCTCATTTTCACTTGTTTCTTTTATTAATGTGTATTAATTTTACAAAGAGTTTTCACAGTTGTATTTCACATTCGCACACATTGCACATTGTTCACATCAACTTCCTCTATTGTTCTTTGCTTTCCCTATTCTTTCACACCTGTATTTTTCAGCAGCTTTCAATAGTTTGCATTGTGTCATCTTCATAGACAATTTATTCATGAATAGACACAAGTTATTTTCATATTGGTTATCCCTCACTTCTGTCTCTCCTTCCTCTTGTACACACCCCCCAATAGTCAGTCACAGTCATGCATAGTGCCTGCATAAGAGAGAAAACATGGGAGATTTTCCTTCTGAACCTTAATTTACCACAATCATCTCTGGTTCCATCCATTTTCCTGTGAGGACATAATTCATTTGTCATCACGACTGGCTCAGTATTGTGGTATAACTATTCCATTCGTACGAATCTCATTAATGTAAGAAACATATGAATTGGAATGATTCCTTTCTCTCATTGGTATTCGTGTCTTAGACCTGTCATTTGTAAAAAAAAAAAAAAAAGAGAGAAAGAATCATGTGTGCTCTCTAATGTCCTCAATAATCCTGACATACTATATTTTTTTCTATTTTCCAAAATTCCCTTTGATAGGCACCGAGTATAGATAGGACTTATGCACTTTAGTTATTGCAAACTGGTTAAACTCACTTTCAGTTGTATAAAAACCATAGAAAAATGTATTAAGAATACCTTAGAAACAATATTTACCATTAGCTTCTTATGTGTCATCTGATTCTTATGTGTCAACAAAACTATAGGACATGGAAATATATTCTTATGGAAGTTAACACCAATAGCACAGTGTATTAATCTTATGCTTAGAGACCATTGATCTTAATTTTAGCTTTTTCCATTAACTTTTAGATTGATTACAGAATTATGTACACTGGCTTTGGATAAATCTACCCAAAACAGATTATCTCTAAATCTCTGTGGTTTTACATATTTCATAATATTCTAGTAATGCAATGTTTCCCACTCAATTCATAGACCTTTTACCCAGGAATTGAGTTAGACTAACAAGGTTCAAGATCCCTCATGATAAAAGTCAAGGAATGAGAAAAGGTTTGCACAAAATCAACTTATTTCCTTCAATTCTCAGCTCAAGCCATGTCATAGATTCCCAATACTGGTGGATTGAGTTCTCACTTGATACTGTGTCTGTGTTTTTCTCTTCAGTATACTGTCTAAGCTTTCCATATGGCTTTTGGGGAGTGGGATTGTCAAAATTTTTCTTGTTAGAATTTGTGCTTAAATAAAGTACTTGCACACAGAAACTATTTTTAAAATATGAGTACGACTTGAATTCTTCCAGATATAATGCACTAATTTTGGCAATTTCAAAAATAGTTTAGTATTATGATAGTGTATCAGTAGAGTTGAGCAGGATACATTGTACACATATGTGGAAATGTCACAATGAAATATCTCTTGTAGAACTAATGTATGCTAATAAAAATGTACCAAAAATAGATTCCTGGGAAACCCTACCAAGTACTTCTTTTTTTTTTTAAAGTATAAGATACATACCTGCGTCTAATAAGGTGATTACTAAAGAGTAGACTGTTCAGAAAGGCGTTTGGAAGGAATCCAAAACAGAGAAATAGAAGGTAGCTGAGGAATACTAGTAAACCAGAAATTGGGATTATAGTCCTATGCCTGTACTGGTGATATGACTGTGGCAGAGATTTTTGGCTTTGAGTTTGTTTTGTCAGATATAAAATGCAAGGGGTATTTCATTGGCCTGAACTATGGTTTGGAATCTCCATGAATTGATGTATTGAGTCATGTAATTATTTCCTATTAAGAATCATTTTCCTTTTATTTTCCATGGCTCACACCAGACTCTCTCCCAAGCATGCCCCAGATATTCCTGATGACAGCACTGACAACATCACTATCTTCACCAGAATCTTGGATCGCCTTCTGGATGGCTATGACAACAGACTGCGACCAGGGCTTGGAGGTCAGTTAGTCTCTTAACATCCTTTTCCTTGACATTTTCATCTAAAACTCGTGAGGTGCCCTCAGTAGTGTATTTGTCAACCACGAAGGTTTGAGTAGAGGTTTTCTTTTCCTTTATGAGCATTGGAAATTAGTTTTAATCCTTCATGGCAGTGGTAAACTTTCCAGTCCAGTTTTTGAAAGTTCTGGATTTCACCTAGAGAAGTGCATCTTTAAAGTTCAAGCAAATCCATTTCTAGATCAAAATACTTAATCCTAGCCTGGATAATAAGAGTGGTCCAGGGAGAGCAGGGAAATTTTTTTACTCTCAAAAGCATGGGCACTTGTCAGTTTGACACTGTAAGTGGAGCAATCTGCTGGGTAAGTGGGATCTTATTGACTATCAGCTTAGTATAAGCAGCAATATGATCAGAATCCAACAAATGCATTATAAAATGTTATGGCCTGTGTTGAAATTGAAAGTATGTAAACGTTTGTATGTGTTTATTTTCCCAAACCATTGGAGAATTAGGTACATATATTGTATGCTTTGTTCCTAAATAGGTCATTGTTTATCTCCACAAAATTATTTTATAAAATGATACAATTAGGAATGCATGAAATGGAACCTAATTTGTATTCCAAATTCAAATTTTTCTCACTCTCCCAAAAGTGTCCTTTGAGGCAAATTTACTTGATTTAGACTTCAAAAAAGTAGTATGCATTATATTTGTTCCCATGCCAATTTAACCTATAATCTCGTGTCTTTACTTAATATTTCTTTTCCCTCATCCTTCCTATCTTCCTCTCTTCCTTCCCTCCTTTCCTTCCTCCCTGTCCCTCACTCCTGTGTATATTCATTATATTTAGATACATGAATGCATATATTAAATATGTGGAAAAATATGCATCTTTACATGTATATATTTGTATGTGAAATCAGTCTCTATAGATACTGCAAATACCAACCCAACATAATAGTTTTCACTGATATATTTTTTAATCCTATACTACACCAAAATGTTTGAGATTACATTCATATCACTACAATAAATACATTTACTAAGTAAGTAAAGCGAAGGAAATATTTTTAGTTTTTTTTATTGTTTTAGAGCAATCCTATATGATGGTTGCTTTTATATAGATAATGGATTGGAATAGAGAAATATTGGAGGAAGAACCCAATCACAAATTAATTTAATTTGTAAAGAATGAAGATGTGGGCTGATGGAAAGGACAGAGTTTGGTGATTCATGAGCTTATAGTATTAGCGAAAGGACAAGAGGAAAGGATTACTTGTACTTCTGCACTGTGTGACTGCATGGTGCATTTTCTAATGTAGGGAACACCGTAGGAGGAATAGTGCTATTTTGTTTTGTTTCTTTTGCAGTTGTAATTGTGGTGAAATGTTAAAAGCAAGAGATGGAAATTAATTCATTTGTACATCTGTAGAAGTTCAGTACTTATGAAAACATGAGTGGAGACTTTTGCTTCTGGCTATCATGAAGTTATAGTCACCATGCTTATTGTCGTTTCCTAAATATCAACCAAGAAATAAACAAAGCTATTTTTTTAATATTTTATCAGAAACTGAACATAGTTTAGTGACCCTTAAAATAAATTAAACAAACAAAAGAAGGCATATAATTGCACATCATTTACTGCCTGCTAATAAAGAAAAAACCCTAGGAAGAGGTAATAATGCTCGATAGGAAATGTACTCATTATCTTACTCATGTGACTGTAACCCCTGTGTGCAGTATTTTTACAATAAAAATATATACAATAAAAGAAAAAACCCTATGAAAGTGGAATAGTGCAAATGCTAAACCCATAGAAAACAGAAAAGAGGAAACAGTAACAACATATTGACAACACAAATAAAACACTATGAGTAAGCTTGTAGGTGTAAATTCAACCATATACTCATCTTATTACATATAATCATTTTGCTATACTCCGGATCTGAAGTGTCCCCAAATGTGATTGGGAAATGGTGGAAACTTTGGAGGTGGAACCTTATGGAAAGATGTCATATCATTGGGTTAGTTTACCATTAGAGGGAATTGTGGGACCCCAATTATTTCCTATGTCCTCCTCTTTGCTTGCTGGCTCACTGTGAGGTGAATGCTTTGTTCTAGTATAAGCTCTTGCCATGATGTACTGCCTCACAATAGCCTCCTGAGCAAAATGAAACCAAGCCAAGTGACCATGAACTGAAACTTCGAACATGTGAGCCAAATTAGTGTTTCTTCCTTTTAGGTTGCTTTATCTCCAGCATTTATTACAGCAATTAAATGCTTACTTACATACCCATATCAAAAGGCAAAACTATTCAGACTGGATTTCAAATCCCATCAGGACAAAATTGCTCACTGAGAGAAATACATTTTAAAGATAAAGGCATAAGTATGTTAAAAGTAAATAAGGGGAAATATGTATCATGCTAATGTCAATCAGAAAGTATATACACAAGGATAAAGAATACTGTTGAGAGTAAAAATTATTCCATAATAATAAAAGGACCAACTCTTTTTTTACATTATTAGTAAGTTTTTTATTAGTAAGTTTTTTAAATTGTGAAAATACCATGCAGAGGGATTACAATTCCATGAGCAAGGTAATGAGTACATTTCTTATCAAGCATTGTTGCCTCCTCCAGGACCAACTCTTCAAGAAGACACAACAACCCTAAATGCTTACGCACCAATTGCCAGAGCGTGTAAACAAATAAAAACAGAACAAAAAGGGAAAGGAGTAATCTGCAATTGCAGTTACAGAATTCAGCAATCCTTCTCAGTAATAGAACAAGTAGAAAGGAAATAAAGGAAATAGAAAAATGAGCCACATTAATGACCAATTTGATCTACTTGGAATAGAATGTGTGTGTATGTGTGTGTGTGTGTGTGTGTGTGTGTGTGTGTGTGTGCGTATAAATGATTTTACCACCAACAGTGGAATACTCATCAAGTTGTACCTGGAGCATTTTCCAAGATGGATCATATTGTGGCTCAGAAGATAGCAAAAGAATTCATGAAGTACAAGATATGTTCTACAGCCGCAGCAACTAAATTACAAATCAATGTCAGAAATATAGTTAGATAATCTCCAAGTAGTTGAGGACTTAATAATATGCTTTTATGTGACCTATGAGTCAAAGAAGAAATCAAAAGGAAAATTTAAAACAATTTCCACTAAATGAAATAAGAAATAACATATAACACTAAATTGCCATACTAAAAATGATTAACCTCAAAATTAAATTAGTTAAGATATTGGTTTTGTTATTAATCTACACATTCAAATAAAATTTTTAACAACATTGTTTTTATTAACGTGGAGATTGGAATGCAAGGCCTCATACTTGCTCAGATGGTACTCTGCCACTTGAGCCATGTCCCCAGTCTAGCCTTTTTGCTTGTTAATAATATATATATAATAGATATAGATATATACCTATAAACATGTGTTCTATACACACATACGTGCATAAATGGATTGATAGATTGATATATATGGTTAATTGATTTTTCCACCAAGATTTTAATGGCAATTCATTGGTGAAAAATACTATTATAATGAATGATATTTTACTTAGATAAGGAAGTTCATTGGGGTAGAGGGAAAGTAGGAGAAAAATGAGGGAATGGGCAACAAGTTTGACAAGAATTGTATTTATTACCTTACTTATGTAACTGTAACCCCTCTATTCATCACCTTGGCAATAAAAAAAGAAATTTCAAACTTATATTCTTACCCCTCTAGCTGAAATATTCCTAGCTTTGTCTGCCTTTAAATATCCATTTTAGAATCTCTAAGTGGTTTTTTAAAATTATTTTTACTTTATTTATTTATATTAAATTCACTCAAAATTATCTACCTTTTTGATAGACCATGTGATCCTTCAAAACTTGTATACACAGTGTAATGTTTGGATGAGCACAAACTTATTCTTATTCTCAAATATTTGTCATTACTTTCTGCTGAAAACGCTCCAAATTCTTTCTTATACATTTTGGTAGTTACCCTGCTGTGCAACACCACAACCTCTATATCTGTCCTATATAACTATAACAATAGCCACTGATCAAACTTTCCCTGTACCTCCCTTCCCATGCCCTCTCAAAGTCCTAGTAACTTCTGTTCTCATTTTCTATGAGATTAACTGTTTTAGATTCCACTTGTGAGTAAGATCATGTGGCATTTGTAATTCTGTGCCTGACTTACTTCATTTAAGCTAAGGTTTTCCATTTCCATGCAAGTTTCTGAAAATCATAGGCTTTCATTTCCTTTATGACTGAATAGTATGTCATTGGGTATGTGTTCCACATATTATCTATTCATCATTGATGGACACAGGCTAATACAATTTCTTCACAAATGTGAATAGTGATGAAGTAAACATGGGTGTGCAGCATTTCTAAATGCTGATTTTTTTCTTTATATTCTGTATGATTATTGAATCACATGTCAGCCAGTTTTGAGGCTGTGCTAATTTACGTGTCTAGCAGCTGTTCAGGACAGAAGGGTTTTTCTTTCTCCATATCCTGGCCAGCGTGTGATCTATCTGTAGTCTTTTTAATAATAGCCATTCATTTTATGTGTGCACCAGTCCTGGGGCTTGAATTCAGGGCCTCGGTACTGTCCCTTAGGTTTTCATGCTCAAGGCTAGCACTCTATCAATTGAGCTACAGTTCCACTTCAGCTTTTTCATGCTTAATTGGAGATAAGTCTCACAGACTTTTCTTGCCCTGTTTGGCATGAAACCACAATCCTCAGATCTCAACCTCCTACACAGCTAGTTTTACAGGTGTGAACAATACTAATAGCCATTCTTTTTATGGTGAAGTGATATCTCATTGTGGTTTTGATTTGTATTTTCTTGATGATTAGTGGTGTTGAACCTTTCTTCATGTGCTTGTTGGACATTTGTTTCTTTTTAAGAGAATGTCTATATTGCCTATTTAAAAATTGTGTTATTTAGGTTTTTGCTATTAAGCTAGTCCCTTATATATTGTAGAT